TGTTAGGTAAAAAGCAGAGGTGGGTCGAAACTAGAGTTGGCCGGGATCGGGATCCCGGTCGGGATCGGGCGGGATTATCCCGGGTTTTTCAAATCCCGATCCCGATTTTTCTGATCCCGGTCCCGAAATATATATCCCGATCCCGATCCCGGCCATTTTTAATCCCGAGCCGGGATCCGGGATCGGGATCGGGATGTGCATCAGATCCCGATGCAAATCCCGATTTTATAAATTGACTAGAAGTTTGTGGAAATAAAGTTAACAGAAGAGAGGAGGCATGAAATTAAGAAAAATTTTCGCCTGCGGCGCAGAAAATGGAAGAAATTTGGCATCCTGACATCCAAAATTCTCAGAATTTTCGCCTGCGGCGCAGAAAAGGAGCAAATTTAAGCAAAGCTGTCTTTAAAACTTTGACAAAATATTGAGTGATTTGGTGTGATATCGAGCGATCAAGAGGGGTTGAGGGGAGTATAGGTGGATTTGGAGTATAGAAGGATATCGTGGATTTGCACCTTGGCCTTCAAAATTTTTCAAAATTTTTCAAAATTTGGAAGGCCAAGGTGCCAAACTTTTCAAAAGGTGCAAATTTTTTAAAAATCAAAAGCCCAATCCCATTTATCCCCCCCCCATTACCTTATCCCCCCTTAATACCCTGAACCGGAAAGTAAATCATGCGTCTATGAGACTTTAACTCAATATTTCAGCACCGCAGTGGAAATTTTAGAATTATATTGAGTCGTTTGTGAAGAAAATAAAAATTTATAAGTTTTTAAAATTTTTTTTAGTAAATCCCGATCCCGAGTTTTTAATCCCGGTCCCGATTCGGGATCGGGACCGGGATCGGGATCTCCAGTCCAAATCTCGATCCCGATTTCGGCCAATCCCGATCCCGTGTCGGGATCCGGGATCGGGATCACCATTCCTAAATCCCGATCCCGGGTTTTTCTCGAAATCCCGATACCGGCTAACTCTAGTCGAAACAGTCCGAGGTGTCGGAAATCGAAACTGGCTCAAAAGTCGGAACTCGGAAATCGGAAGGTGGTTGTTATCGCAGGAAAGTTGTGGCAATATTTTTTTAGAATCGGGTCACCAAGACATATAAATTTGGATTCACTTCAGAACATATAGCAGATTGGCCATAGTTAATGCTCTGGCTTCATTCGAAGTAGGGTTCGATTTTGTAGGGTTCGATTTTGACCCTTCGGGGTCAAAATGCTCGGATCCCGATAATCAATGCAAAATATACATCCTATGCTTCATAATAACTCTCCAATCTACTCCCTCATTTCTTCCTTCTAAACGAGTGAAATTTTTGGCAAAATAAAATACTCGAAAATTCGCTAGCCAAAACTATTCTCTCCCTGCTATATTAAAGCCTATTACATATTTAATTCTTTACATTGAGGTTGAAGAAAATAAGAAAAGAGAATAAGGACAAAAATGTTAAACTGGGCCAAGCTTCCCAATTCTACAGTAATATTTAATTTATTTAAACAATGGGTGAATACGGAGAAAAAAGACAGGAATGAGTGAGCAAATAATGAAAAATTTTTGGGGGTAAAGAAAACCTGAAAATGTGCTTATAAAAGTGGTAAAAGTATTTTTTAAAAATACTAAATTTTATAAAAATGTATGATGCTTCGATAAATTTAAAATTTATTTTAAATATTTTTTCAGAAAAAAATCATTTTTTATAACTAAACAATTTATTTTTATTATTTTAATTTAAATAAACTTCTAAAAAATTTTCCCTACCTATTCACTTTTTCAGCAAAATCCATTTAGCTAAAGTGGCATTTTAAGTGAATAGGGGCAATTGCGCAATATTTGGTGCGCGATGACTTCTTATCCTGGATTGGCTTATTTAGCTGCTCTCTCCCCCAACTCCCCTCTTATTTCTCAACTCTCCACTCAACTCACTTAAATGCCCAAAAATAACAAAATACGTGCCAAAAAGGGAAATTTAATTTCTTAAAGAGTTTTAATATATTTTTTAATAGCTTAGAGAAATTTTTTAGTGAAGAGAAAATGATTGGATTAACACTTTTTATTTCAAAAATTATTTTTTAAGCTGATTTAGTTTAATTTATTTTTAGTCCAAGCTTGATAATACAGTAAATTCTGAGGCCTACATATTTTTTAAAATAAATATGAACATCGAAAAAAGGAGAGGAAAACTTTCTAGATAGACTAGAAATTTTTAAAGCCGTCTTTGTAGAATGGAATTTAATTAGAATAGTGTATGAATTATTTGAAAAGAAGATGGGGAATAGAGAAAAGCGATTTGGATTTGCCCTGTTATTTTTTAAAAACGAAAATCAGATCTGCCCATGGATACGGATACGGATACGGATAATATCAAAATGCCTGCGATATCCGCCTGTATCCGTCTGTATCCGCTGTAATATGCGGATACGGATACCAGGATCAGTATCCGTGACCAGGTCTGATGAAAATCATAAGATGTAGAAAAACACAACGTTTATCTCATCCCCAAACTTTAACACTCCAGATAAATGACAAAAAACTATCAAAAATATCCGTCAAAATCCTCCAAAAATAAATATAAAATTTTAATTTTCCCAAAGAAAATAAACATATTTTATTCAAATACTTTCCCTATCCAAAAAGTGTTTTTACTGCTAATTGAGAGAACAATTTAGAGAATATAATGAAGGAATAAAAAGTTCACGGTCATTATTCTAACCAAATACATTTTAATTTTTCCTAAAAAATTTTTCTGGAAAAGAAGAAAAAAATATGTTTTGAGAAAAAAATTTTTTTGTGTCAACAAAATGAAAAAAACGGGGCTTCCCGTTGTGCTTTTGTTTCTTTTTATTTATTTAACTCATCATTCATTAAGTGTGAATTGTCATTTATTTTAATGAGAATATTTACTTTAAAAAATCATTTATTTTTTAAAGTTTTTAAATGCTTTATTAAATTAAGGTTAGTCCCCAAAATTAAATTTCCTTTTCCTTTCTTTAAATATGTAGAAAGGTACGGTCCTAGAAGTTTAGGGATGATTTCGAACTTTAGAAAAGGAAAATATCCCTTGAAGACTTTTCGTCTTTTTCTAAATCCGAAAACATCCCAAACCTCCGAGCTTAAATGGACACAAAAGCCGTTTAACCAGTACTTTAAGTCGGTCGTAAGGTTAACCACGACTTTGTGTAACCCAATGGCATTTAAACCTTTCTTATTGTAAAGAGCCTGATCGGCATCAGGGCGGGCGCAAGAGATAATCTCCAAAAACGCAACGCGGCCGCTTTTGATCGGCATTGAAATATCCAAAACTAGAATTCCCCAATATTTTTGAAATATTTTCATATATTTTTTAAAAAATAAATTAATTTTCTGAAAATTTAAATTATTTTATTTTCCTTTTTTTAGCTTCTCACAATTTTAACTTAAAACTTGAACAAATAGGAGGATTTGCACTTTTTATAAATTAAACTGGTTTTGTATTACTGACCATGAAAAGAATTAAAAATAATATTCTTTTTATGTTCCAAAAAATATAATTATATTTTATAATAATTAATATAAAGAATTATTATTTTCTGCTTTTTCTTCAAAAAAATTAAAAGAGAGAAAGCTAATTATAAATTCGTGTAAAGGTATATTTGGATTTGTTGCAAGTTGTTATATTTGAATGCTAGTAAAAGAGACGTGAAAATAATTATTTTGTATTTGAATAAAAAAACGGAAAAAATCAAAAAAAGCACCTTTGTATCAGGGCTGGCGAAATCAAAAAATAAAAAGCGAAATGCGGAATGCGAAACTTTTCGCGCCAAAAAATACGAAATATGGGAATGATGCGAAACACGAAAATGCGAAATCGCCCAGCCCTGCTTTGTATTTATGTATCAGAGTTTGACATTTCTGAGTGCCGCGCCCTCCGTATAAGGATAATTCGGGCCGGATTAAAATTTAAAACCCCAAAAACGGAATTTATCAAAAAAAATTTTTCTGAGTTATTACGCCCAGAAAACCCGATCCTGGGCACGACCCATTGTCGAACTCCACTAAATATGGCATTTAATTTTAAGAAATATTTTTAACAAAAATAGGTAAATTCGTTAGTAAAAAGCAGAAAGATTAGAGAGTGGGAGTTTCTGAAAAAATTCTAAAAATTAAAAAATAAAATTACAAATCGTTATTAAAGGTAATACCTAATTTAAGATAAAAGAAAATGAGCGGAATATTTCCTCAGGCAAAATCCGACACATAAAAGTAACAATTGAAAAAAAGAAAGATTAATAAGGGAAAAACTTCCGATTTAAATAAATTTATTTTTTGTTTCGCGCATAATAAAAAGTATGATAAAAGGGATGAACAAACAAAAAATGAATTTATAATGGAAATGAAGTGGTTGTATGTACTATAGGAAATGTTCGTATTATTATAGTTAAATTACTAGTTTTTTTAAGTTTGGCCGCTGAATTAATGGAATTAATAAAATATATAATTATTTTATTAATTAATATAATGATTTAATTTAAAAGAGGGGTGTTTTTAATATATAGAAGTGAATATTATTTTTAACAGTTCTTAATCGAAAAAAAATTATTTCTTAAATCGAAAATAAACAAAAATTAATTTTAAATTTATTAAAAAGCAAAACTATAGTTCTAAAAGTTAAAAATAAATAATTTTGAGAAAGAAATAAAGGAAGTAAAATAAATAAAAAAAATTACTTAAAATCTCAAATAAAATTCTCAATTATTAATTACATTTTCAATTAAACAATTAACTAAGCTCTTATAAAAAATAATTTTCAACTGAATTATGAAATTTTTTTAAATAAAATTTACATTGAGTACGAGGATCATTAGCCATACCATTTTGATAAAAATTGGACCACCTAAAATTTAGATTAAATTACTCGTTTCTTTTTACTTCATTTTGTAGCAATATTCCCTTTACTGGAAGATAATTCAAAAATAGTCCCTCCCCCTAAGCTTTTTTGGAAAATCCCCTACAAAATCACTCAAAACTCACAATAAATCAGAATTAATGTTATTATTTAAAGTCCCATTCCACCCTGTAGAGTGCCCAGCATTTGTAACGGCTAAATAAGCCGCCTGTTGATTAACATAAGCTTGTTGACTAATTCCATTAACAGTCGCAGCAGCAAAAACAGTAGCAGGGTCTAAAGCTAACATTGAATTTGGGGATTTTAGAGCTGCAGAAGTTGAATTAGAAGAAGTAGAAGAACAATTAGCTGCTGCTGTTGGGGAGGAAGACATGAGAAGTTTGTGGTGGACTTTAGCTGTTAAATTAAATTAAAATTAGAGGGATTTAAGAATTAAGGATAAGATGATTTTAGTAATCATAGGTGAGGAATAAAATAAAAAATGAAGTCCAGACACTTCGGTAAAACCCAGAAACAGTTAAATTTAAATTATAATTAATGGCTAGGCTTTATTCAAAGTAGGGTTCAACATCGACCCTTCGGCCCGATTATATTATAAATGCTCGGATGAAAATATTTAAATTATTTTATTTAAACTTTTTTTTATTTATTCAGAAATATTTAACTTATAAATTGATCAAAAAAATAAATTTCTATTTTTGATTTTTAAACTTTTCTTTACTCAATTTTCTAAAACCTTTCAAATTTAAAATTAAATTAGCTACAAGTTTTTGCGGTTAGATAAATTGGCCCCGTTTTAGGTTACTCTTTCCCGTTCTGTCCCTAATTTACTACTTCATTATTTTAAAAAAGGTTGAAGCTAATAAATGTTGGTAAATTTTAAAATTTATTTAAAATTGATTTTTCAAAATTTTAATTTAGAATTAAAATTATTTTCGATATATTTAAAATTAAATATTTAAAAAAATTAAAATTTAAAATTAAAATCAAAAAATTTTTTTTCTTAATTATCTTCTATTTACCATAAATGCTCTAATTAAAGCCCTAGAAGGCTATTTTTCAATGGGTCAATTTGGGTGGGCTTACTTTATATATATGGGCTCTATTAGGAAATGGGCGTTTATTTTTCGATATGCCTCCTTGGGTATATCGAATGGGCTTCTAATAGAGCCGGGCTTTAATTAGAGCATTTAAGGTATTTTATTTTCAATTTCTTTCTTATTGTTTATTAAAGTTCAAATCAACATCTTAAATAAATATATCAATTAAAACTAAATCCACTTATCAATTTTAAGGGTAAGTAGGTCGCGCGCTTCCAAGTGTTCCCCAAAAATATTTATATAACAGAATTTCTTCTCTTATTTACAAGAGTCATTATTCTCTCAAAAAACTTGAAACTTCTCAATCCTTCAATCAAAAAACATTATGTAAGGCCACTAAAGTGAGTGGAAAGAAGGAACGAATAAGTAGGGATGCGGGAGAAGTTGATGATCATTGAAATTAAGCGCTGCCGTCGCCAAACTCTTTAGGGAGGAAGGAAGAGGAAATAAACTTATATTAAGTGATTAGAGAGGGAAGTAATGAAAAAAAATTTTAAATTTAAAGTAAAAAATTGTTAAGAGTGTTTGAAAATAACATTCTTAGGATATACTCACCCTTATTTTAAAATTCACAATTTTCTCAAAAATATTTTAAAAAATTACAAGTGGTAACAAAAAATGGACGAAAATGATATTTAAAATTTGCTAAGAAGCATTTAATAGAAGAGCCATTACGGGAAAGAAAAAGCTCCCTCTACAGCGCCCCTTTAACACTCACGGAGAAGTGGAGCACACGAGTGGATCTTGAATAAGTGAACGGGGCATAAAAGTGGCTGTGTGGAGAATATAAATTTTTGAATTGAAGGAGAGGAAAGGTGGAGGAGAGTGATTGAAGGGCCGCCTTTCTCTTCGTTGAGTGGATGATGAAAAATAATGGAAGAATAAAAAAAGAGAGTGGTTTGTTTAATGGAAAAGGTGGGTGGGGCTTAAAACAAGTTTTTATATAAATTGTCGTTTTTGATTGAAAAGAAGAAAAAGGAAGAGTGGAAGGGAAGAATAAAAAGGATGAAAAAACGTGACGAATGGGCGGCACAAGAAAATTTTTGTGGACAGTACATTCGTGTGATATTTGGAAAGGGATGTGGGGCAAATAGTCGGGAATAAATTCAACAAAAGAAAGGCCTGCGCGGATCTCTCAGATTCAATATAAATCCATTACTATAGCTATCCGATCTCTTTAGTCATTTAACAATTTTTGTGTTTGTTTAGAGAGAGGAATTTAGATAGGTAAGAAAAAATTTAGACAAATTAAACAAATAAATTTATCTATCATTTTAATGAATTTTGGATTAAGTTAAATAGTTGGGATTAACAAATTAACCATCTCTAGAACGTGTAATATTATTTTATATGTTAATTTGGAAAATATTTTTTAAACGGTCAAAATAAGTCAGAGCTAATATTGGAAATCCCAGAAAAAAGTCTTAAAAAGTCTTGATTCGTGATCGAAAAAGAGAGTCATGGACAGCTCTAAGATTAACAGTAGTATCATTATAAAATTTTATAATAGGTATTTTCTGATTATTTTAATTAAATCAAAAACTATCGTGTAATCTAGTTTTTAAAATATAGCTGAATTATAGGAGACCGTATGATAGACCGGCAAATAACGATACCTCGTGTAAAATAGGGTAGATCCATTAGTTGTCTAATTTTCCTAAAAATTTTAATTTTACTTGCAATTACTCAATTTCGATATTAATATTTTCTATTTAAAATTTTAATTTAATTATTGAAATAATTCATGTATAGAGCAGCTGTGAATTTAAAATCATAACTACTATACAGTATATCTACTTTTTAACCTTAAATTCTCTCCCCCCTTTTTTAATCATATTATTTTTAAGATTATTCATGGCAATTGCCTTCCTCCGTTTTTAATCCTTTTACTTTTAGAATTTATTTTTCATTTATTTTTCCTTTTTTTTCAAAGCTATACTCACAAAATCATAATTTTGTAGGCCTTCTTTAATTTATTTATTTGAGTCAAAAATGATATTAGAGAAAGGAAAACATGAAGTTAGAATATACCGTATTTCCTAAAATAAAGCCCCATGATGGATTAGAGCCTCACACTAAAATAGAGCCCAACTTTGGAGTATAGTTGAAAAAAGAGCCTCATGGGGCTTTATTTTAGGAAATACGATAGATGATCAAAAAATCAAATTTAAATCATAGACTCCTAATCATAGACTTACTTTACTTCCCTACAAAGAAATTTGACAATGAATAAATTTTTAAGAATTTTGGAATGACACTTCAGGCATACGTTTTTAACGGTCATTTTCGATTATACTATTTAATCTTTTCAGAAATTCCTTCCTATCAAAACCGCATTAAAAAATTAATTTTTCAAATTTATTTTTTTATTTACTGTCCATTCTCTCCTCATTGCTCTCGCTTAATTGCAAAAAATAATAAGAAAAAATCTTCTACACAAAAATAGTATGTCGGCACTTAGGCCTAAAAAAGCTCTTATATTTTTCTATTCACTTTCAAGTATTATATATACCCCTTTCTATCCATCTTCAAAATCTCGCTTTAACATGCACATCTGCCTCAGTACTTACAATGAATCCATGATTTTGGCAATAAACAAAAAAAACTAAAAAAAGGAACCTTATAGCCACTAAAAATTATTTTTTACAAAAACTATTATTTTCTAGAAGAAAATGCTGAATAACTTGATAGCATTAAAATTGATAATTTGGATTAAAAAACTAATAAATTCATTCAATGTTACTAATGATAATTGGACAATTTAGCTTGGAAATAAGTGGACAATGATAATGGACATTTACCATATTTAATTCTTGATTGCTTTGAGTCTAATAATCAGTTTAATTATTGATATAATATATAATTGCTTTAAAGCAGTATTATAAATGATGGATATTCTACTATAATATATATATTATATAATAATATATGTTTTAGAGATAATGGATATTTTTTAGATGAACAATTTACATATTAAGTCGGTCGAGGCATTTTTTTCGGGCCCAAATTTATCGAGTCGGGCCGGTACAAGTCATTTTCGGGCCAAACATCTAGGCCTGGCTCGATCTTTCGGTCCGTGTCGATCCATTTTGGCAATCCTAATTAAGAATTTAATAACAAATTTAACTCAATTACGAATGTTTTCTGTCTGAAATGACAGTAATATTTAGTGATAGAATAATAAGCGAGTGCTTTAATTTTGGATTTTGATACCTTTTTTTGTATTTTTTCCATAAAATCAAAAAAGAAAACAAATTTTAGACAAATAAATTTGTGGGAATTTTATGTTAAAGAATTTTGCCGATAATCGGAAAATGCTTTTATATAGGTATCCTATAATCTATCACTACTACAATAATATATTGAAAACTTTCCTTTTAGTTTTCACACTTCCGGCGTGTGAATGGTTTTGTAGTTTTTTTGGACAATGAATGGAATGATTGCCCTAAGGCATTATTATAGATAATGGATATTTTTTCAGAAGTTTGCCGACTAATTTAAAAAAAGATATACCTATTAATATATTGTGGGATTTTAAATATAGAAAGAGAATGGAAAGAAAAATTAATAAATATTTGGAATGTTGTTGGAAGAAAATAAATAAATGTAAATTTTAAAGATGATTATAGAAGCTGCTTATATGAGTACTCACTAAGCGTGACTAAGATTTTCGATGAATTGGAATTAAATAATCAACTATATAAAATTCAAAAATTTTAAATTAACTTGAATATAATACCCAAAGTTTAATTTGTGATTGTTTCTTTTAGAAGAACGGATTTTAATTTATGTAAATATCAAAAATAATAAAATGGCATTAATAATTAAAAATAACTAATAAACTATTTTTTTCTTTTATTAGTCTTTTTTTAATTTGTTGCTATTATATTCACAAATACCTAAATTGGATTTTGTAAAAAATATTGTAAAAATTATATTAAGAAATATAAAAATATTTGCTAGTAAAAATTGATGATTAACTAGAAAAAATCAAACAAAAATTTTAATCAAAAGGTTAAAAAATAAAAATTATTAAATTAAAAACGGAAATCAGTTGATAGAAAAATAGAAGTTATAATAATTGACAAACTTTTCTAAATTACATAATTATCTTTTGTGTAACAATAAAATTTATAATTAAAAATAAATTTCAAAATATTGAAATCAATTTTTAAATTATTTATAGATTAAAATTTTTAAATTTGTTTACTGTACACAATAAATTTGAGTAAATATTTTAATGAAGCTATGCACATTTAAACTAATATTTTTAATTAATTTTTTTAAATTAATTAATTATTTATTAATTATTTTAGAGAACTAAAAAATTTTTTTAAAAAGAATTGAAGTCATTTTCTAATTTTTTTGTTTTATTTTAAATTATTTTAAATTTATTTTTAAAATCTATGGGAAAAATTAAAATCAAAAAAATATGAATTTTAATTTAGTAAAAAAGTAATTTAATTTAAAGGTATAGAATTATTTTTAAAATTTCACTGAGAATTTTTGTTTTTTAACACCATATATTTCTTAATTAAAATTTAAAAAATTTTTTCCTTACCAAAAGCCGCTATAAGCAACTCTGTCGATGTATTCTTCATTTCATTTTTATCATCAGAATCAGACAAATCATTATTTAATTCAATTAAATCCTCAACCTCCTCTTCAAAATTAATTTTTTCTTCATTATTTTTATTTATTTTTTCATTTTTTTCTTCATTTTTATTTAATTTCTGTTCTATTCCTTCCTCTAAATTTTTATTTTCAATTAAATTAGAAACTAAAAATGACGAAGAATTTTCTTTAATTAATGTTGTTTTTAATGTTTTATTTATTTTATTATTAATTATGTTGTTAATACTTTTACAATATTTTTTACGAGGAAAATGAGAGGAATGTTTGTTATTCATGTTGGTTGTTTTTGTTGAATTCATTTTGAGTTTATTTAATTATTTAAAAACCTAAATTTTTGTTAAACCGTTTAATTATTAGTAAATATTAGTGACCGGGGCCGGACCGGATCCGGCCGGATTTTTCCGGAGTCCGGGTCCCAAATCCGGATATTTTTGAAATTTCCGGATTAAAACCGGACCGGATTAATCCGGAGAAATCCGGCCGGATCCGGTCCGGCTCTAGTTGAAAATCCGGAATCCGGATCCGGGTCCGGCAAATTTTGAGCACCGGATTTGGGATTTGGGTATTGTGACTTATAGGGGGTTTTTGTTGGCTGGACCGATTTGAACAAATGAGGGGTCATTCGAAAGAGCTCGCCGAGCTGAGTCGATCGCGGGGTGAGAGAAGTCGATCCGACAATCAGGGACCGAGATACAGACCCCTGAAGTTTGAAAAAGAGAAGGGGGGAGTAAGCTGATTTTGTGGTGAAAAATTCGAAAATGCAAATTATGCCTCATTCGAAAGAGCCGTCGAGCTGAGTCGAATGACGCCAAAATCAACGAAATCTGACTTGATTGGACAAAGTTATGATCTTTTATTTTAGCTCCTTACCTATGGCATCTGTGGAGATTTTTGCTGCTACGGAGGCCCCAAATACGTCCAGAGCAAGGGAGATATGAATAGGTTTATGTTACTGACCCAGAGCCCAGCGACCGTTGACTCCCCGCGAGGCGCGTGCCGCGAAACCCCGCGCGAAGCGCGGGGTTTCGCACAAGCGCCTCGCCGACGCTCAATAGGTTTATGTTGACCATTTTGAACCTGTTTATCTTGGCTCAGAATCAAGATATCGAGCTGATTTTGGTGTCATTCGAATGAGCTATTATTTGCATTTTCGAATTTTTTACCCCAAAATGAGCTTACTCCCCCCTTCTCTTTTTCAAAATTCAGGGGTCTGTATCTCGGTCCCTGATTGTCGGACCGACTTCTCTCACCCCGCGATCGACTCAGCTCGGCGAGCTCTTTCGATGACACCACATTTGTCCAAATACGTCCAGCCAACAAAAACCCCCTATAAGTCACAACATTCTGGGATTTTATACGGTTCTGAAATTTTCCCATTTTTTCTTGTATTTTTTATAAAAAAGGTGGATTTTTGATCCCTAACTTTACTAAATTCAAAAAATTTTCGCCTGCGGCGCTGAAAAGGGATGCATTCTTATTGGCCTTCCAAAAATCACACCCGGAAAGCATATATACCTCAACTCAGTTTCAGTACTAGGCCGGTATGGAGAGTCTAAGCATTACCATCTAAACTTCAAAAAAAATTTTTGCCTGCGGCTCTAACAATAGAATTTTTTTCTCCTGAGGCCTTCCAAAATTTTCGAAATTTTCGCCTCCGGCGGTGAAAAATGGAAGAAATCTGGCTTCATGGCTTTCAAAAATTTTTAAAATTTTTGCCTGCGGCGCAAAAAATGGAAATCTGACTTAAGGACTTACAACATTCTCAACATTTTCGCCTGCGGCGCATGGAAGGGATTTGAGATTAAGAGGATCCTTAGAGGAAATATTGCTCCTTGGACTCCAAAATGCTCAAAAATTGGCAGGTACGAGTACGAGGTAAAGAAAGGCCTATACTAAAGTAGGAGCAAATTTCGAAATTCCAATCACGCATTACTTTATTTTCCAAACTTTTAACCTCGAAAAATCCCTAAAATTAGCCTCCAAAATCCTTAGATATCTCTCTAACAACATTTTAAGACATAAACAACACACATATTACAACATTTTAACACAAAAATTACTGAAAAAATTTTTTTGAAAAATCCGGAAAAAAACCGGAGTCCGGTCCGGAATCCGGATAATTTCTGCCGGACTCCGGAAATTATTTTTACCGGATTAAAACCGGACCGGATTTATCCGGAAAAATCCGGCCGGATCCGGTCCGGCTCAAGTTGCAAATCCGGAATCCGGATCCGGTTCCGGAAAAATTGATTTTACCGGTCACTAGTAAATATTGATATGAGTACATTTTTTAAGATTTTCACAGAATTTTCTGCAAATTTTAACTATGGTTTTAGAATTATAACACAGAATAATATTTATTAATCTTAGTCTTTTTGATATGAAAAAAATTATTTTACTCTTCTAGGATCAAAATTTTTGAGATTTTCTCGCTATTGTTCAGCAAGTTTTGTCCAGGATTGAACATTAAAATGTTTGTAAATGAGAAATTAAAACAATATTATGTAATTAAAAATTTATCTTGAGTCTTTATTCATTTACGTATATGCTTAATTAACTTAATCAAGAACAATTTAGAGATTGAATACAAAGTCAGTCTGACTCAAAACACAAATTTAACCATAAAAAAGCAGACTTTTTATGGAGTCGAATCTCGCTAATACGTCAACTTAGGACTGAAATTGGCATCGAGATTCCTTAGTTTTTAATAGAAGCGTCCAGACCAAAAATTTTAGAACAGCCGAAAACCCCCAAGGTAAACCTGTCTCGGGTTGTCGAGATAGAAAATTAAACTTGTTTAGATCCCAAGTCTTGGACTTCTATAGTTTTTAATATCTAAAGTATGAATCTTCTTTGTGTCTTTCCCACTGTCTGTTCCAGCTACGAAACACTTTTTCAAAATTAAACCAAAAATTTTTTAACATTTAATAAAGCTGTTGGGTAATAATATATAAATTAATTTATGAAAATAAAGCAGAGAAAAAATTCTTTCGAGAGTTGATCAAGCCAAGAGTGAATTGACAAGGAAATAAAAATAAACAAAAAAATTATAAGAAGCGCCAGTTGAACATAATAAAAAAAATAAAATTTAAAGGATCTACTAGTGAGCAATTGAGAATTGAGTGGCTTCTTGAAGCAAAGTGTTTTTACATTTAATATAGTACTTATTTTAATATAAATAATGAAAGGGTTGATGATGATTTTGTTGTTTTTGCTTTTTTAAAATAAATAAAAAAAATAAACTTTAAGTGAAGTTGATAGTTTTATTGGCAATTTAAAGAAGACAAAATTGGACTGCAATATATTTTAACTCTGTTGGATAGGTAAATGGTTCTTTAACTTATGAAATAATTTTTTAAAATAATTTTATCGGCCACAACTAAAGATACAAAAGGGAAAATGTTTAAGGAGCTTCTCAAATTTTTATAAAAATGTCATAATTAATTACAACAGAAGTAAAACAAATTTTACAATATTAAATCAGTATGAAGTTATTTAGCTCCTAAATTGAGCAGAAGTGTGTCGAAATTCAGACTGAGAAACTTTTTTAACTTCCCTATTTACAAAATTTGACATTATTCATACTCACCTCAACTTTAATTAAAGATGGATTTTGTGATGATTCATGAATGAAATAAAAAAAAGTATTCAAATTTTAATTTAACTCTTTTTGCTAAATCTCTTAAATAATACTAAGATAGTTAAAAAATATAAGTCATATTATACTAACAAATTTAGAACTAAACAAAATTTAGAACTAAATAGGTAATATCGTCCAGCTGGCCATTAATGAAGGAACAATTATATATTTTGGTCACCACATTTTTATGTTGCCTAAAGGATGATGACTGGCTTTTTCTTCTTCTTCAGCCCCCTTCATTCTCCTCTTATATATTAACTTCAATACTTTTCCTCTCTTCCACTTCTTCCTCTTCCTCTTATTAGCCTTCCGCCTTCCTTTATGTTCTTCAAAATTTCTCCAAAATAACACAAGCACGCACACCCGAAAGCGAAATTTGGCCGTTTTGGAGTGTGCCCCTTCTCAATGACTTTATGCGTGGTGGCAAAGGGAAGTGGTTGGTATATACACTTGAAATAAGCTAAAATGCTTGAAAAGTTGACGAGGACATTTAGTAGAGGATGCGGGGAAAACAATCCAAATGAATAGGCCCTTTGATTGAAGATGAAGCTATGAATGTGTTGTTTTGTTGTTTTTGAGGAAAGTTAAGATATAAGTGAGAAAATATTCAAAAATGAGAAATAAAATTAGTGTAAATATGAAATGAATGGGAATAGCTGTGGAATTTATGATTACGATTCTATAGATCATAAGCTTTGATATGATAATTTAAGTGAAGATTAAATAAACAAAGTTTTAATAAAATATTCACAGGTATCAATGAATTGAAGGTGAATCATTGTAATATGGCTTTTGCAATCCGTGTGATATGGTTTATGTTAATAACGAGAGAATCGGATTCATTAAAAACGTCTATATATGTAATTAAGCCTCCACTGGATACCTTTTCTGTCGAGCTATTAATCTTGAGCCCGTGAATGTGCCTTAAAAGTTTCTCATCCTGGTTAAAGTTCATATTTAAGAGGTTAGGCTTTTTACCGAGGTTTTATTGTTTAAAAATATTTAAAAATATCTTGCTTAGTTTTAGAGTAAATTTATTCTAAATGAAACTGATGACACAGATAAAGCAATCTTCTTCTCCTAATTCTTTTACTTCAATCCACCTACTCCCGCCCATATCTTTTCTACCAAACACTCACAAATTTACTCTTTTTTTTACTTTTTTGGTCCGCTGGTTCGTATTTAGCTATTGTCGGTTGTCGACTTTGCTGATTGGTGGCCAAGCAGCCCTTCTGGATTTGAAAAGCCAAAACCTTTTTTCCTTTCATTTATACACCAATTTTCCTCATTTTCCACTAGTATTCAATTCTTTACTCAAAAACCTTCAGCAATCATCCAATATTGGGTGCCAAATTGGCCGTGCATAAATCCTTCCTTTTCTACCCGGCTGGTGCTAATAAGCAGTAAAACAGTCATCGTCTTTCTCAATTGGATTAGTATTGGAAGAACCTTCTTTAAAGCTTTTTCTATTATATATATTCCTTCCTATTATTTACAAATTCTTTACCACCTCTACTTGGGAAAGAAGGGTCATTTGGTTTTATGCTTGAAGGTTTCATGCTCATTAGTGGAGGAAATTTGTATATTTTGGATATATTTTCTTTTTTATAAAGGAGTATCAATTAATAAAGGCACATTAGTATTTATTTGAATAGTTACAAATAATTATTTTTAATCTGTAAAATATTTGTCACTAAATAAAAATCGACTACATGATTTTAAGATCGGGTAATGTTAATATGGTAATACTTCGGCAGACGCCCCCCCCCCACCCCCATTTTCCGTCCTATTTTTTTTTCAATTTTATGGAAAATATTTATCTTTCGAAAGAGCTCTTCGAGCTGAGTGATTGGCACAAAAATCATCGAAACTTGGCCCGAATCAACTTAGTTATGACCGTTTGCTTTAACCGCTTGTAGCGGCACATCCACTACGTTTTAGGTCCTTTCTTGCCCATGCTCGCTGATATTTCGCTTAGCGACCATAAGGAAAGCTGAAATTTTTGAAGACGTCATTCTACTTTAATGCAGAGAAATAATTTAACCCTTTTTGGTGGCCATTAAACCGAAGTTCCTCGACCCTGCCCCGAAACAATTCGAAAGCCCCGTACCTCGACATACCCGCCCCGAGCGTTCGTGGTGCAACCCTATTTGAAATACATTCTGAGACTAAAAGAAAATTAAAACTTTATAGTTTTTTAACAATAAATATATGAATTTAGGATGTAAATAATTGTTAAATACTTTTTTAAATAAATAATAAAAATTTAAATAACAGTGTAATTAGTGTATAAATTACAAAAATGCTTTTTGTTTAAATAAATAATTTGCTGGGGAAAATAATATCAATTGTTTAAAATACAAATTAGAGTATTTTACAGTTAAACTGGAAAAAAATAAATAAAAATAGTGGGCCAAAAAACTTTGTAGAAAACAAAAAAAGTACTGGATTATAATTTAGTTGTAAACTACATACTCTAATTTGAATGATAGTTTAAAAATAATTAGAATCATGAAAATATTTTAGGTAAAATGCATACATATATGTACATATTAGGTCGGGTCATAATTAGTGCTGCTTTTTAGATTAAATTTTTAGGGGTGTTATTTTACAAATATTTTTTTTCTTATTAACCAACATAAAGATCTCATATGGGTGATATTCTTTAAGTTATGATTTTTTGAACTTCACTACCTCTATTTTGAACTTCACTATCTCTATCCGTCGTAGTGAACGATGGATAGAGATTTTGAAGGGCTTTCGAATGATATATCACACTAACTATTATCGTTACATATACTTGAGAAAATTTGATTCCCGATGATTTCGGAAATTTTGATATTTTCGATCAGAACTCCCTGAATACCGAACCAAAAATTATCAAATGTTGGTATCTCTTAGAAAATACTCTAACAAATGATTCGTAATAAAAAAATATTTTCAAAATTTCAAATTTCAATTTCAATTCAAAATTCAATATTTTCAAAAAACTTAATTTTAAAAATCCAAATTAAAAAAGCGACACTAATTATGACCCGAGCTAATAATTAACATAAACTGAAGATTACTTTAATAAAAAATAACCGAAATAAAGAAGGGTGAAAATTAAAAAAAAGAAAAAATTTCAGACAATTTTTTGAAAATTTTTTGCCGACAACGGGTATAAATAGTGTTGTCGGTTCAGTTTCGGTTAACCAAAACCGACAACCCTAGTTTAACGACAAAATGATGTTTTAAAAAAACTCAAAACAGAGAATTTTTCATAGTAAAATTTTTCTTTAGCCGAAGTTGAAAATTTTGTTACCGTACCGTTTAATCACCGAAAAATACCGTCGGTAATATGGTAACGTCCAGGCTTTACTCATACTCATCATCACCGTCATACTCTTCATTTAAACTTTCTTGAATATTTTTGGGGTCTTGAACAACTAAAAAATTTATTTTATTTAAAAATTAAATTAAAAATGTAGTGCTTGTAGAAAATATTTTTACCTGCTCCATGGGTGGATGAACTAGATTTCATTGGATCTGAGTAATTCTGGAAAGTTAAGCTTGATGGAAGGGCATGACCTTTAATTAGTTAAAAATTAATTTAAAAAATATACTGTATTTTTCTAAACAGTCCTCCTTTCGAAAGGGATAGATAGTAAGTAGAGTTTCACCGGAAGTTCCGGTTCCGTTTCGGAAAGTTCCGATGTTTTTTTGGTTCCGGGAACCGAAACTCAAATTAGATCCGGTTCCGGTTCCGATTTACAAATCTGTTCCGGGCAAACCGGAACTTTTTTACAACCCCTAAGGATTTGTTTTTTTAAATATGGTATTCGGAGGATTTGGATGGATTGAGGTATGATCGATAAATGTATAATATGCCAGTCCCGCATTATCTAACTTGGTGACAAATAATTATTTTAATAAAAATTAAATAATTACCAGTTGGGTGGTAATTAATGTGCATGTTGGAACACGATGCAATATTTTCATTTGAGGGATATTTTTGCCCTGTTAATTATTTTTTAAATAATTATTTATATAATTAAAATATATTTACCAATAATTTGTTGAAATTGCTGATTTCGACCTTCATGTAGAGAATTTGCCAAAGATTCATAATGTGGAACTAAAGTTTGTTTAGTTGCGCTGGGAGTAAAGTCTTTAGCGAAAGGATTCAAACTGTTATGTATAATTAGAGTTGTACCCCGACCCCGTACCCCGAACCCCGACCCCGTTCCCGAACGATTTTTTCACGATTCTCCCCGACCCGAACCCCGCCCCGAAACATTTCGAAAACCCCGTACCCCGACCATAAAAGTTTCGGGGTTATCGGGGTTTTATACACCCAAAAAATGCCATTTTTGTGAGAATTTTAAGAGAAAAATTTTAAAAATTTCCTCACAATTTACTTTGCCTTTATTATTTTTGAAAGAAAAATGAATGAAATATCAAAATTTTCTTTCATTCTTAATTAAGAGACTTGTGGTTGAGTGGCTTAGTTGTTGGTTTTAGCCTATATTTCCATTAATATAGGATTGGGTTCGGATCCATATAAGGGGAACTCTTTTGTTTTTATATTTCTTTACAAAAACAAATTATTAACGAGTAAATTTTAATTTTAAAATATTAATTTTATTCTTAACTGATATCCCTTGAACGACCCTTAATCCTTCAAACCCCTTGTATCACCAGTAAGGGGTTCCCAACCATAACAGTTGGAAAACTATCGAGGTCCTGTTAACGGGAATCAGAGATATAAAGGAATTTGTAGTATATCGAAGAATTAAGGAGTTATAAAGGGATTTAAAGGGATATAAGGTTTAGATTAAAATGGATTTGAAAGAATTACGTGAATTTAACGGAATTAACAAGGATTTCGTGGGAGATTTAAGGATTAATCCAAGATATCTCCTGATATCCGTCCAAATACCCTTATCCGCAATACTTCAATATTCTTATTAATCACTGATATCCCTTGAAACAACAAAAATCACTCCAGATCACCTTGCACCCCTAGATATACCATTTAATCCCTAAAAATCCCGCTTAATCCCTCCATATCCACTTATATCCCAAGTTATACACTTTAATCCCTTCAAATCCCCTCTAATTTCTCCAAATCCTACTTAATTTTTGAATAAATTAGCGAAAATATACCGAGATCTGATTATTTTTGAGCATTTTTTTCTCTAAAAATTTTTTCACTAAAACCCCGTACCCCGACCCGAACCCCGGTCATATTTTGCTCCCCCGACCCGAACCCCGCCCCGAAACAATTGGAAAACCCCGTACCCCGACATACCCGCCCCCGAACGTTCGGGGTACAACCCTATGTATAATTGAATTTAAATTAAATTTTAAAATAAACTTTGATTTTTTTCTTAAATTTGGGACGGGTATCTGAAAATTTAAAAAATAAATTAATATTTTTTATAAATAATTAAATATTTTATCTTCGGTTAAATTAATTTAAATCTTTACGTTGGTGGTCAAAAAATCATTATTTTCCAAAAGTCCGTATTTATCTAAAAGAAAATATACACTTTATGAAATTTTTAATTTATAAAATTTTATTTTTAACTAAAATTTTTACTTAATGTTGTGTTTGCAGAAGATGCTTGATGAGAATAAGTTTTATCAGTTGGAGCCTTAGAATTAATTTAAAATAATTATAAATAGTTAAGGTTGTAAACTATAAGTTTTGAGCTGAACTTGCTTTCCATTACTATACAGTATAAAAAAGTTACAGTATATTTCCAGAGCCATATCAAAAAGTCATTTTTGGACCATATCCTGTTTATGGTTCTTTTGCTTAGAACCTTAAAACCTAGTCGAAGATCCAAAGTGTGTTTTGTTATATTACAAAAGATAAAATTTTTAATAATACTAATTTTTGTACTTATATTTTACCTCTAAATTCTTCCAACTTAATCCTATGACTCTAATTTTTTGCTCAAAAATAGGTAACACTATTAGTAACATAAAGAAATATAAATTACATTTTGAAAACATTTTGTTGAATTTTAATAATTATTTAATGCACTTAACACATGGAGGGGGGGGGGGCTCGAAACTTAGTTTACAACCTAATAATAAATATTTTTATATTTTATTGAATTAAAATCTTTACGTTGATGGTCACAAAATCATTATTCTCCAAAAGTCCGTATTTATCTAAAAGAAACAAATACACTTTTTGAAATTTTTAATTTATAAAATTTTATTTTTAAATAAAATTTTTACTTAATGTTGTGTTTGCCGAAGATGCTTGAGGAGAATAAGTTTTATCAGTTGGAGCCTTAGAATTAATTTGAAATAATTATAAATAGTTAAGGTTTTTATATTTTCTATATGGAGGAAGGATGTATATTTGGAC